TCCCAAAAAAAATTTCTGCTTACATTCGAATGGAGCGAGAAATTTCCTATGCTTTGTGTCATGTATTACATGACGTACTGAGCGCAGACAGGCTTCATGTACTCATATATGAAGTAGGGAAAAAAGAGAAAGCACATGGTCGATCAGTGTGTAAACCTTATCTGTACGAATCCAAGGCATAGTATATGCATTAGGAGGATACAACATTGGCGACGAGGATAATTCTGTGAGACACAAGATGTCTTTGAGCGAAAATGGCGCTTCCAATGGGATTCCTAAGTTCGATTGTCACTCGGAACCTACCACGTTAGGACCACGTTGGACGCGATGGTTCACATCTTTTGAATTGTTTGCCGATGGCAAAGGTCTGATTATCACTGAAGGTACAAATGCAACAACCAGACAACGAAGAAGAGCTATGCTACTCCATTTAGCGGGACAAGATGTGCAAGAAATTTTCTCTACTCTCGCGAACACCGGCGAAGCAACGGACTACGCCGCCGCTGTAACAGCACTGAATGGCTATTTTCTCCCCAAAGTTAACTCCGCTTTTGCGCGTCAAAAATTTCACCGACTCCAACAACAGCCAGGTGAGACCGTTTTGCAGTTTGTAACCCGACTGAGAAAAGAAGGGAAAGACTGTAATTTTGGGGCAGACTTTGACAATCAGATAAGAGATGCGATTTTATGCAAATGCAGGTCAGATTATGTCAAACGTAAATTGCTTGAAGAAAGAGATGAACTTACTCTCGCACGCACATTAGAGCTTGCAGAACAGTGTGAAAGTGTAGAACACCAAATGTCTCAGCTTAGCTTGAGTGAACAGACTACAGAAGCACACAGGGTCTATGAAAAACCTAGGAGACCAAAAGATCAACAAAGAAACAAAGAGAGCAAGAACAGAGACAGTCAGTGTCCTCGTTGTGGGTGGAGTGGTCACCTTGGTGGAGATCCGAAATGCCCTGCCAGAGGTCAAACATGTAAAAAATGTAAAAAGAAAGGTCACTTTGCTAGTGTCTGCAAAACCAAACCAAAGAAGCCAGGAGTCAATCAGGTGCAAGAAGAACAAAAAACCGATGGGGAGCAAGTCGATTATGCATTCAGGGTCACCAATAAAGGTCAGTCAAATATGCTCAAATTGTCTGCGGGTGGAGTAGAATTGGAAATGTTGGTGGATTCTGGGGCCACCAATAACATTATCGATGAATGTACATGGGAAGATCTGAAGGCTAAAAAGATCAAGTGTAAATCACAAACAGCTCCCGTTGACAGAAAATTGTACGCTTATGCATCCAGCAAACCCCTCCCAGTAAAAAGGTAGCTTCACATGTGAGGTACTAGTGGGCAGAGGAAGAGTCCAGACCGAATTCCTGGTTATCAAAGGAAAGGGAATACCACTCTTAAGCAAAGACACCGCAATGAGGTTGGGGTGCTGAAAATAGGTGTTGACATTGCCACAATTGCTGAAGGCAAACAGACGCTGCAGCAAAAATTCCCTGAAGTGTTTAGTGGGATAGGAAAGTTGAAGTCCAAGCAAGTAACATTGCACATAGACGAAACAGTGAAACCAGTAGCCCAACCCCTGAGGCGAATTCCTTTCAATCTGCAAGAGAAGGTAGAAAAGAAGGTTCAAGAGTTGTTGAATTGTGATATTATAGAGGAAGTAGACGGGCCTACACCATGGGTAAATCCAGTAGTGATCATACCAAAGGCAGATGGTGACATACGCCTCTGCATCGATATGAGACAAGCGAACAAGGCCATAGTACGTGGCAGATACCCAATACCAACTGTAGATGAACTGCTACACAATATGAATGGTTCCAAAGTCTTTAGCAAGTTAGACTTAAAGTGGGGATACCACCAATTGGAACTTAATTCAGAGTCACGACAGATCACCACCTTTGTGACGCACAAAGGCTTGTACAGGTACAAACGTCTATTATTTGGCGTGTGTTCAGCGAGTGAGCAGTACCAACATGAGATATCCACAGCTTTAGCTGGAATAGAAGGAGTCGATAATATATCTGACGACATCATAGTACATGGCCCGGATCAGGCAACTCATGACCAACGCCTATATAAGACAATGGAACGCCTCAAGCAGCATGGCTTAACTCTCAATGCTGACAAATGCCTATTCAATGTGGACAGAGTGATTTTCATGGGAATTCTTCTCTCTGAAAAAGGGATAGGCCCAACAGAAGAAAGAATCAGAGCCTTGCAAGAAACAAGGGAACCTGCCACCGTCAGCGAAGTAAGAAGCTTCCTGGGATTGGCCAATTATAGCAGCAGGTTTATTCCTCACTTCGCTACTATCACTGAGCCACTAAGGAGCTTGACCAGAAAGGCTGTTCCATTCCACTTTGGACCTGAGCAGAAAACCGCTTTTAAGATTCTGAAACAGAGCATGGCTGACGCAGGAACACTTGCATATTTTAACAAAGGCGCAGCAACCAAAGTAATAGCTGATGCCAGTCCAGTCGGCCTCGGAGCTGTGTTACTACAGAACCAAAATGAAGCATGGGTGCCAATTTGCTATGCAAGCCGCAGCTTGACAGAGTGTGAGCGCAAGTACTCCCAGACCGAAAAGGAAGCCCTCGCTCTCGTTTGGGCATGTGAGAGGTATCATGCATACATTTATGGCATGAAATTTGATCTGGTAACTGACCACAAACCGTTGGAGGTCATCTACGGGCCACGTTCCAAGCCCTGTGCCCGCATCGAACGGTGGACAATACGGTTACAACCCTACGACTTCCGAATTGTATATACTCCAGGGCAGAATAATATAGCTGATCCTCTTTCCCGCCTGCTTAAGCAAGACAAAGTGACGAGTCATCCACATGGGGCAGAAGAGTACATCCGATTCGCAGCTATCAGTGCCACTCCCAAGCATTAACCACGAGAGAAGTCGAAGAAGCATCTGCAACAGATGAAGAATTAAAAGTCCTGAGAGAAGCAATTAAAACTGGCAGATTTGAGAAGTGCAAAAACTATGCACCAGCCGCAGGAGAACTGTGTGTGATTGGACAGCTAGTCTTGAGAGGTACCCGTATTGTGTTACCAAACAAACTCAGAGCTCAGGCAATCAGCTTAGCCCATGAAGGACACCTAGGAATTGTGGGAACAAAGCAAAATTTAAGAAGTAAGGTGTGGTGGCCTCGTATGGATAAGGCAGCAGAGAAATTCTGCAAGTCCTGTCACGGATGTCAACTGGTATCTCGCCCAGACCCACCTGAGCCATTGAGATCCACGACATTACCAGAAGGTCCTTGGCAAAACCTAGCTATAGACCTCCTAGGACCACTTCCTTCGGGACACTCAATCATTGTTGTTGTGGACTACTACAGTCGTTATTATGAGTACGCCATCATGATGTCAACCGTCACAGAGAAAGTAATTGACAACCTGGAAGAGATTTTCAGCCGCCATGGCCTTCCTCTGACCATAAAGTCAGACAATGGTCCACAATTCCGCTCCGAAGAATTCCGGGAATATTGTAAGCAGAATGGAATTGTTCACACCAAGACCACACCAAAATGGCCTCAAGCCAACGGGGAGGTAGAGACAAAATGCATCGCTGATGAAGAGAATCCGCATTGCCCAAGCCGAAGGATTAGACTGGGTGAAGGAGCTAAGAAAATATGTGACTAAATACCGAGGTATTGATCACGCGACAACCGGTAAGAGCCCTGCGGAATTATTGTTTAACAGAAAGATGAGAGGAAAGCTACCAGAGCTACATGCCGACCATCACTTGGACCTGGAAACTCGAGATAGAGATGCCGAAGTGAAAGCAAAGACCAAAGTAATAGCTGATAAATCCATGAATGCAAAACCATCAGAAGTTCAAGTTGGTGATCAAGTCCTGGTGAGGCAAGAGAAAAGAGACAAGTTTTCCACGCCATTTAATCCAGTACCATTCCAAGTGGTTAGCAAGACCGGTAACAGTGTTGTTGTGGAAACTCCAGGTGGAACGCAGTATTCAAGGAATACATCCCATGTCAAGAAGTTTGTGAGCCCTGACAATCCGGAAGAACCACCTGTCAGTGTCGATGTACCGACAACACCTGAAATTACCGTGGTACCAAATCAAGTGATGAGTGGATCTACATCAGTAGTGCCTACAACACCTCCCAGTAGACCCCTAACACATCTCACACCTTTAGCACAAGCAAGTGCAGGAAGCAAATCTGGTACAACCTCTGCTAGTAAGAATGCAGCAGTTGATCAAACAACAGTACCTAGCCCACCAGCAACACCAAAAGGTGGAAGACCTCAGAGACAGAGGAGACTCCTGGGAGATATAAAGACTTTGTTTTAAAATGTTGAACTTCGTTTGAAACAGTGAACTTTGATTCGAAATGTTAAATGTTGTTTTGATACAAGGACTGCTTAGAACCGGTGAATCTCGTGTTGAAATTAAGCGAATTAGTTATTACCAGCTCTCCGTCCAATTTTCAGATTCGCACGTTTTGTTTTGATTAAGTCTTAAGGACTATTGTTTTCTTTCTTCAAGAAAAGGAGGGATGTCATGTATTACATGACGTACTGAGCGCAGACAGGCTTCATGTACTCATATATGAAGTAGGGAAAAAAGAGAAAGCACATGGTCGATCAGTGTGTAAACCTTATCTGTACGAATCCAAGGCATAGTATATGCATTAGGAGGATACAACACTTTGGTTAGCTTGTCTAGGTTGCGACCGATTTAGATAAGTCAAATGGCCGCTCAAGTTCGAGTGCTTTCACAAGATTTACTTCTGGTCTTCTGCAGATCCGTAAAAGTCGTGGGAGAAGGATCAGAGGGTCCAAAAACAAGATTTTCCGGCCGTTCGTTACCTTCGTATTAACAAGTAGGTTGTCTTATAAATAATTTAAGCGATGTGATACTTTTTCCTTTTGTCCTAAGAGAAACGGAATTTCGTATAATACAAAAATTTTGTTGCTAGTAAGTCTCGAATATGTCTGATGCCGGTCGTTTTCGGCTATCTTCTCTACACAATTGCCAAAGAGAATGGAGAGGGAAGTGGCGAATCTTCCTTCGCTGCAGTTGAGGAGAAAATCATGCAACAAACGGGTATTTGAGGCATCCTCGTCAACAGTCGAATACCAAATGTCTTAGCAAAAGCGAACAAAGAAGGAAAGTGGAGGTTTCGGTGTTAAGAGGCTCACTGATGAGTGGCGCGACCTTACTTACTCCGTCAAGTTATTTTATTACGAGCTTGATAATTACTTTATTGCAAAGGAAAATCAAGATTTAAGAGGGAAGAAACGAACGCCAGAAGAATCTCTGAAGAATAAAATCACCAAGCGACAGAAACTTGAGGAAAAGCTCGACGACACAGGGAGAAGCTACAAAGTATCACAAGAAGAGATTCCAAGAACTAGTTCACAGAATTGCAGAGATGAGTAAGAGAGGTGTAATGAGCCCTGAGAAAAGGTCCTTTAATGAGCACTCCAAGTAACACTAAAATAGGATAAGGAAGCAAATGAAAGAAGAATGTGAAGCTACTCTAACCTTTCTTGGAATGTACAAATTTGTGGCTTCAAAAGTAGAAGTGTTCAATGATGACACAGAACAGTACAAAACTTTTGATCTAATTGATAAGGATCATATGCCACCATCAGGTTCTGATTCCAGTGACCTAACAGATGCTCAGGTTAATGACATGAAATACTGGATTTATTTAAAAGACATTTAACATTTCCAACGAAGCATGCCATGAAATGGCAAGGAAGTCTGAGTTGATCCCAAACATAGGGAGAAAGTATGTTTGTGAGAATGCCACATGTAATAATGGATTTTCATGAGAGAATTTTAAGCATGACTGGTTATGAAACCTTTCTAAAAAATCTGGGCATTTCTTTTGAATGGAGGAACCACAAAAACACCAAAAAAATTGGACTGTAGAGATCAAATGGGTCCTGAAATACTTAAAGTGATGTAAAATATTTAACTATCCTCACTTTTGCCAGGAAACAAGAAGTCAGAAAAGTTTCAGCTGCTATGGGATGGGTGCATGGAAATCATTGGAGATTAAAAAAATTAATTGATTTTTTAACTAATCAATCAATCAATCAACTTGAAGAAAAAATAGGATGGTTTAAGATCTTCTCATCCTTGTACCAAGTTAAAGATGTGACAACATACATGCATGCCTTATACTTTCATGTTCCAGAGTGTTTGAAGTTGTGTAAAATTGTGGCATATTTTAATTAGCAGAGCATGGAGAAATATAATGTTGTGGCTTCCAAAAATTACTTTAGATCTTCTAACCACAGAGGAATTACTGCTCTGTGACAACTTCAAAAGAAATGTTGAATTCAATTTCTGGAAGCAACTGGGTATGAAAGAGTGAAACAGAGACACCATTGTAGTAACTGTTCTAGTTCAGGTCACCAAGCAATGCAAACATTGCAATAACCAAACTTGCTGCTCACACCTTATAAAATGGGACAGTAAGTGGGTGCCAAAATGTTGTACTAGGTCTTCACAGAGTTACCTAGATAATATTTAACACATTTTATCATCAGATGTTTCTAGTTACAATACAGTGTGTAGTAAAGTTTCAAAGCTACAGTTAATATTTCATTAAATGAAATATAATGTATTACATAAGAACATTTTGGCTTTTACAGGACCAAATCAGAAAGTTCAGCCTGTTTTTTTTCAAAAGTTTGGCACTCGACAATAAATCTACCATGATTATAGCTATTGATTAAAATTGTAATCTATACAATGTTTTGAATATAAAATTTAAGAGAGATGAAAAATATGGATTTTCAACTACAAAAACATATCAATTCCTTGTGACACAGTCATGCACATTTCCATCGCCCTTAACAAATGTAAATATAACACACAAACTGTCCTCCATTTCTGATTGTATGTATTTCCCCCTATTGCATTAAATTATTGGATTGGTGTCTTCTAAGATAACCAGAAACACATAGTTCCCCTCAGTGACAAAAGCATAATCACCATTTTCGTTAAAAAATTGTTTGGTTGAAACTATTTCTATAAACAGTCTTTTCCTGTTCTTTCTTTGACTTCCCTGCTAACACAAACCCTTCATCAAATACTTCCTGGTCAACTCGAACTTGAAAAAAAAAAGAAGCAGGGAAATGTGTCAGAAAACAACAATGGATCAAGTATTTGAGACAACTTTTCTTGTCATTTTTCTCTCTGTAACTTAGATGGATGCAGCAAAGTCTTAAAATTGTTGTGTGGTGTGTGGAAGGAAGTTATTTTCAAAAAGCGAAAGATTGTACAGACAACTTTGAGTCTTGTCTTGTAATTGTTTGGGCGATTGATGTAGATGATGTTATTTGTGAAGGATGTAAGAGGCCTGTCGAAGAGCACTAATAAATTGGATGTTATACTTTTATCATGTCATTGCTATCTCAAGTTGTTGTTGATCATTTGAAGTATTTCACTTTTTCAGAGCTCCAACTGTACTTCTATTGCCATTTACTTCAATTTTAGCAAAAAATTAAAGTTAACAAAAGTTTATGTTTTGTTTCAAAAGTTTTTTTTACATGAATCACAACTGGCGTGGCCAGTTATTAAAACTACGAAAGGCCAACGTTGAGTAAAGAAAAGTAAGACAACATTAGTACTAGCGATATGGTCACCTTAGATCAAAGAGCTTGTTAGAAGTGGAGGAATAACTATGGATTTTAATGGAGTAAGGAAAACTCTTTTCAGTCATTAGTCTTGGAAATATTAATATCATCAGGTATGATCAATGATGTGGAGAAATTGTGAATTAAAGCAAGTACTGGTTTGGGCTTCCAGTTGTAAGATAAATAGTTAAATAAATCAGTTATTTCCCAATAAAAATCATCTTCATTTATCATTTCAACTGCACAACAATATCATATACACTCTTTGCAACCTTATTCTCCAACCTATTAAATTTCAAGAGTTGTATGACAATTCAGTGGTCTGGAAAGACTCTTATTACATGCCAAATAACAAAGAAACAGAAGGGCTCATAACAGTGAGGATAAAAAACAAAATATTTCCAAAAGCCTTTCTTTCCTGGGAACAGGACCAAATGAGGTCAGATTGAACTAATGTGGAGAGGTTTGTTGATCTCTTTATAAAAATGGATGATTTACATCAATCAGATTTTAGAGAAATGAGACTTAAGTCAAAGGGGACTTTTACATTGCATATTCTGCAGTTATGGGCATTGGCTTTGATGCCTATTTGAGGGAAATCTATAGTTTTCTAGCCAGGGGTTTGGCTGTGCCGATTTTATGGCAGACACATTATATATCTGTCACTCAAGAAATTTTATAGCTCTCACTGGAAGCTCAAATGCTCTTAAGGAACATGACAATATTTCACCTGATCACTCCTTATATTCTTTTCCAATAAAATTTGGACAAACTTTCAAAAACTTTATTGGTAATTTTACAGTTGCAAATAAGGTAGAGACACAAGTTGCAAGGAAAGAACAAAAGATTGATCATTTTATACCAGTAGTAAGCTTCTGGTACTAATTACATTCTCTTCAATACCAGCTAGGCACAGTACATGTCACACCTATCCATTCTGTCAATAGTACTAACTATATGTAGTGGGGTAATCATTCACATCTCCCTAAACAGCAGATAACATAAAAGTTAATTCCTATCATCAGTCTCGATTAAGGAATAAAAATTGAAGGATCACAACATTTCTGGCAAAGTGAAATGCAAGTCAAACTGGTTTGAAGACATTTTAAACGTGAAATACGTTGTTAAATATGACAGAAATACAATAGTTAACATTCTGAAGAAACAAGGAGTTCCTTGAGTTTTTATCCATTTGTTGTATCACTCGTCTCATATTTTAAGAACCACAAAAAAATATGGTGATAATTTTAATCTGCGAGTTTCATTGTACACTTCGACTCAAAATTCATTTCTTGTGGCAGAATTATTCTACTGAAATAAACAAAACAGAATGAAGCTGACGCCATCCGTTTCGAATAACACATGAACATGATGAAAACGGCACCAGTTTAGACTCAAGAGACAAAGCCCACACATTTTTTTTTAAAGGTAAATGAATTGGTTAGACCGAAAGCTAAATAAATAAACAACAAACTGACAGTGGTGAGGGATTTAGGGGCCATGTGAAAAATAGGTACCACCGAAGTTTATCCTCAAGTCAGCCTATAACCGTTGTTAAGACACATGCCTACGTACCAAGTACAACAGACTTGGAGAGCAAAAAAGCCAAAGACAGTTGTGAGCCATGACTTGGAAAATCCATCTCAACCTCCCAAAAACGAATTCGCCGAAGGTTGTAGTAAGAGCGACTCGATCCTGAAGCTAGAACATTTTTTAAAGCCTTGTGTTCTATGTGACT